CTCTCTCTCTCTCTCTCTCTCTCTCTCTCTCTCTCTCTCTCTCTCTCTCTCTCTCTCTCTCTCTCTCTCTCTCAATTCTTCTTCGTCGTTGTCTTCTGTGCAGGTATGCGGCACCTCACTCCGCAGCGCAGCTATGACGGACTTTTCCTCCTTTGGTGCACCTCGGCTATGGCGCCTAACTGGCGCACGTCTCCTTTCCCGCTGGCAACGGCGATGGCACGTGGGGTAACGGGAACCAGCTCCGATACCAATGCATTCAGACTCGCTTTCTTTTCCACTTTGCATACATGCAAACAGGTGGCGATTCACACTGGCGCATCGCGCCCACTCAAAGCTCAGAGATATGGAAAACGAGAACACAGTTCAGATGCAAAATCGCTTCAGCAAACTATGGCGCATCGGCGCCTGCACACCAACTCTCGCCACTGTGTCCAATACCACTGTTCGCACATGCTCAACTCTGGATCACCCTGAATACCACCACACACGGTCTCACACTCATACACACCCACACATACTAATTACTAACACTAACTCGGCCACTATGGCCGCCAACTATCACTGCCTATGCTCGCTCTATCTTCTTCAGCCCACTTCGTCTTCGGGCAACCTGCAGACCACCTTCGCACAAGACACTGTAGCAGCGCTTCCGCATGGCTTACGCAGCGAATGAATGAATTGCTGGGTGCTGCTTCTTGATTTATACTTCTGTTTGCCGCTGGTCTGCCCCTTTCCACCAGGCCCTGGGTGTGCACAGTCCCACACGGTACTTGCTTGACCGGACAGGGTGACTGGGACTGGTGCCACTGACTGCATGAGGTTGCACTGCTGACTCAACGCGGTTGGACCTGCGACTCACCTACAGACCACTAGCCTAGCAGTTTCGACCTCTACACAGCTATGACCCCTACTCGACAGACCTACAGATCGAACCCCTACATCTACACAGACCTACGACAGACAAACAGCCAACTACTGAAACACACAGGTCACCGGTTCAAACGCTCGGGGTTCCACTCGATACTGTACATCGGTAAGGTGAGGTCTGGGGATCGAACTCTAGGGCCCGCATCTATGACTGCAAAAAGGTGAAAACCGTTTCACATACTTGTAGTGTGTCAGAAAAGTGTGGCTGCATCTTGATCCACTGACGCGTTTCATGCTCAGCTTTCACTTTGAAGTGTCTACCATGTAGATACTCGATGGTACAGTTGGTACTTCAAATGTCTCATAATCACATAGAGTGCACACAAGTTCCTATCATAGGTAGACCCGGCTAGCTTCTATGATATCATCTTCTTTGACATGTACTGCACTAAACTGGCTAACTGGTAAAGCTGTGGAGAAAGGGTACAAGGAAAGGCTGGCAGCATGGCAGCAAGGTACACCCTGGACGATTTCCTAGAATCAGTAAGGGAAAGGTTCAAGGACCACATTACTGCTTGAAGGGCAATAGACGAGCTCAAAGTGATGTTTGTGAGAGGATTGAGCCCTCAGAAGGGGCCTTGCCGACATGCATATGTTCTGGGCATAGGCCCCCAGAAAGCCTTGTGCCCCCGCCCTAAGTGAAGGCGGGCCAGACCTGTGACCGCCCTAAGTGAAGGCTGGTCAGAATATCCACGAATAGGCCTTTCTTTCAACATTTTTGTAAAGTGGGTATCAGACAGTTGCAGCACGCCAGTTGATTGGAGTGCATCGTGGATCCCAGACTCCTGCGTGAAGCAGTTGAGCCCAGGGCCTCAGTTGGTTGAGCCCTGGGCACAAGCCAGGGGAGGCCGACGCATCACACAATGGATGTCGGCCAATGGGAAAGCAGCATTGCCGTTGCAGACCAATGGGAAAGCAGCATTGCCGTTGCAGACCAATGGGAAAGCAGCATTGCCGTCATTGAGGCCGAGCAGACCATGGGGAAACTGGAAAGGGTCTGCATCTGGGCRACGGCCCTGGCACAAGGGGCGCAACTGTACTGCCCGGGCCACATCTGGGTTGGGCCTGGGCGCAGGTACTGGGACTGAAGCGCAGGCTCAAGGCAGGCCGCCCACACRCAGCATTGGCATATAKGCAGAGTGTGCGAGTGGGCAGGGATCTTGGCCAATGCAGGCATTGCGGGCACGCTGCGCTAATGCGAGGTGCTGCGCTGTGCAGAGCTGCGCTGCGCTGGGGTCAAGGCAGGCTAGAGCTAGGCGGTAGGGCGCTGCCTGCACACAGGGCACTGGCAGCCACAGCCGGGCCGCATGAGGGTGCAGTGGAGGTGAAGGGCGAAGGTGGTTCTTCGGAGGTGAAGGGCGCTGTGTGGGTTATCAAGGGAGAGTGTGGGTGAAGAGAGGACGTACCTGGTGGAGAGGGAGGTCGGCATTGGTGTTGACATCATCACTCGCTGGTCGTCAAGTTGTCTGTTTGCTTTCATTGCTGTAGTTGTAGGCTTAGTCTGTAGAGTAGATAGGGTGCCTGGCGCCATTCACAAGAGAGAGCTACATTGGGTTATGCTGTTGGTGTTGCCCTGTTGGGCTTGGACATTGACTCACGATTCTTCTGTATCATTCTCAATTGTGAAACGGTTTTCACCTTTTAGCAGTAGCGGATGCAGTACCCAGGGTTCCATCCCTAGACCTCACCCTACACATGTACAGTATCTGTGTAGCCCGAGAATTGAACCCGTGACCTGTGTATTCGTAGGCAGTTGGTAGGCCTGTCGTAGGTCCATAGGCAGCAGGGGTTCGATCTGTAGGTCTATAGCGTAGGAGGCTTAGTGAGTTCCGGAAGCTTAGCTGTAGACCTTCTAGAAGGTAGGCAAGTGGGCAAGTGGTCAAGTGGTGAGGCAAGTGGTGAGGTAGGCAGTGGGCAAGTGGTCAAGTGGTGAGGCAAGTGGTGGACTAAACCGCAGTGCAACAGCAGTACAACGTCGGTAGGATAGCGGTGAGTCCACAGTC